GGATCCTGACTGATAGAGAAAATGGTTGCAGAAGTGATCCCAGGAAACATTGCCAAAATGGAATCCTAGAATTGAGTTGCTCAAGTATTTGATGAGTACAAGGATAATCTCCTTGCATGGGAAAAGAGGACAAAGCAATCTGGGCAACGCAGAAGCCTCAAAATCACTTAGAATATCACCAGTGAGACATAGGATGGAATACTAAAAGGCAAGAGTTAGAAGTATCTGAGTCATTTAATTGCTATGGCCACAAATGATGACTGCAAATGGTGATTACATATATTTTGGAGGGTTTGCTGTTTCTAATTGTGCTAGCAAAATTACATTAAAAAAAAGATAAGTTCAAGATCATGAACTTCTAACTCAAGGCAGGAATAAAGATCCAGATAACTTCTATAAAAGTCTATTAAAGTCTTAAGAAATTTATTTTATAAAATAAATTTATGATTTTATTTTAAGCCAGGGTGGTGGCACAAGCCTGTCATATCAAGTAGAAGGATCAGCCTCAGCAATTGAGGTGCTAAGCAACTCAGTGAGACCTTGTCACTAAATAAAATACAAAATAGGGCTGGGGATGTGGCTCAGTGATTGAGTGCCCCTGAGTTCAATCCCTGGTACTCAAAAAAAAAAAATAAATAAAAGAAGAAGAAGAAGAAGAAGAAGAAGAAGAAGAAGAAGAAGAAGAAGAAGAAGAAGAAGAAGAAGAAGAAGAAGAAGAAGAAGAAGAAGAAGAAGAAGAAGAAGAAGAAGGAGAAGAAGAAAAATAAATATTTATTTTATGTGGTCATGTGGCAGACATGACTGAAAATCAAATCCAAGATTCAATTATATGAATTGTAGAGTTGCAACATCAGACAAACATACAAGCCTACCACATCCCTTATGCTGAAACAGAGGCACTGTGGTGAAGGAGAAGGACTCTGAGACTTAGGATTGGAGATATAAGGGCAGAGATGAACGAAGCTGAGAATTTTGGACCTCCGACCTCCCCTTGATGGCAGAATATCATTCCCACTTCCTCTGAAAACTATGAAGAATCCAGTATTCCCTACTAGAAAATGTTTTGAAAACTCCTTGGAAGTGGGTGTGCCTTTTTTCTTCAGGACCCACCAGACCACCCCTCATAGTTTCCAGGCCCACATGAAGGTTTGATCCTAACAGTACTATAGATGTGCTCCAAGTACAAGAGCATATATACTGAAGGAGTTGTAGGAACCTGCCAACTTGTGTTGGAAGAATCCTGGGGACAGGTGAGGACAAATTTATCGATGTGTGTTCATCCAGGATTTCTGTAATACATTGGTCAGTAAGGTTCTAGCTTTTCAATCTGATGTTGATCATAGACCACTGTTAGGCTTTCAGTAACCAATCTAACAAAATATTGAGCACATTCCCAGGTGATCCGATAATATAATAATATTCAAATCTGGAATGGGCCCCAATGTGTTGAAAGCTTGGGCCCCAATGCAGCAATATTCAGAGATGGGAAATGATTTCTGATACCAGTCTTGGAGATCAGGACTGGATCCTTATTTTCCTGGTGTCAAAGATTAAACACCCAAGAAACACTGGGGCAAGCATGGAAAACAAGTTTTATTTAAGAAAGGGACAGAAGTAGCAGACTTCTCCGAAGAGAAGGGGACCCAGAGATGGGTGTCCACGGGTGTCCGTGGAAGTAGATGTGTCTTGCTCTTTTATAGATCCCAGCACCCCTCACCTTCTCTTTCTTCTCTGTGTACATGCCTAAGGGCAAGGAGGAACAGCACAGAGGGTGATTGTTAGTAACTCCTTGTCCAAGGAATTGTGATCAGAGAGGTTGGCTGTTAGCAATCCTTTGTCTTTTCTTTGATACCCAGCCCTTATGTTCTCAACTCCCATCATTCATTGCCTTCACTGACAGCCAGACCCTTCCCCGCTGCTTCAGTTTGCTGAGGAATGTGACATTTCTGTTCCCTCAAGCCAGGTAGGGATGCAGGCAGATTGCTTTTTGGCAAATAAAGCACCCACAGAAAGTCAGTGCAATAGACTCATTTTATAGACTTATTCTCTTATCTTCATGTTCCCATTATCCTCATATATTTGTCCCCTTACAATTGGATCATGAGGGTTCTAACCTCATCAGTGGATTAATCCATTTGATGGATTAATAATTTGAATGGATTGTTAGGAAAGTGTAGGAGGTAGGGTCTAGTTGAAAGAAGTAGGTCACTGGAGGCATGCCTTGAAGGAGTGTATTTTGTCCCTGGATACTTCCTTTCTCTCTGCTTCCTGGCTACCATGAGCTGAGATTTCCTGTGCCACAACTTTCCGCCATGATGTTCTGCCTCACTTCAGGCCCAAAGGAACCAGCCAACCATGGACTGAAAGTTCTGAAACCATGAACCCAAACAAATCTTTTCTTCTTTTGTGTCAGGTATTTTGGTCACAGGGATGAAAAGTTGATTAACACAGGTGAATGAAATTACTATCTATATAAACTATAGGAATGACTGGTAATCAATGTTTGCCCATGGGATATATGGTGATAGCAAATTGGTCATGGTCTCCTAAGTAATGAAATAGATGAACAGCTTACTGATATGCTAATTGACACAAAATTTCTAGACCTTATGGGTAGAAAATTTATTCAGGTAATATTGGAATTGACATTTTTTTATGTCTTTTCTAATTTTTTTTCTTTTTTCTTTATTTATATATGATAGCAGAAAGCATTATAATTCTTATTACACATATAGAGCACAATTTTCATATCTCTGGTTGTATACAAAGTATATTCACACCAATTCGTGTCTTCATACATATACTTTGGATAATAATGTCCATCACATTCCACCATCATTTCTAACCCCATACCCCCTCCCTTCCCCTCCCACCCTTCTGCCCTATCTAGAGTTCGTCTATTCCTCCCATGTTCCCCCTCCCTACCCCACTATGAATCAGCCTCCTTATTTTTTTTTGAGAGAGAGAGAGAGAGAATTTTTTTAATATTTATTTTTTAGTTTTTGGTGGACACAACATCTTTTTTTTTTTTAAAGAGAGAGTGAGAGAGGAGAGAGAGAGAGAGAGAGAGAGAGAGAGAGAGAGAGAGAGAGAGAGAGAATTTTTAATATTTATTTTTTAGTTCTCGGCAGACACAACATCTTTGTTGGTATGTGGTGTTGAGGATCGAACCCGGGCCACACGCATGCCAGGCGAGCGCGCTACCGCTTGAGCCACATCCCCAGCCCCGACACAACATCTTTATTTTATTTTTATGTGGTGCTGAGGATCGAACCCAGTGCCCAGCACATGCCAGACGAGCGCGCTACCGCTTGAGCCTCATCCCCAGCCTAAATCAGCCTCCTTATATCAGAGAAAACATTCAGCCTTTGGTTTTGGGGGATTGACTAACTTCACTTATAATTTATCTATTCCTCAAAGTAAGTCAGCTCTCCAGACCTGAACCCCCTTGATTGTGTGGAAGGTGGGAGGTCCTGGATCTCTCTCACAGGTGAATTGTATTCTATTCTTCCTCCTAGTCAGTGTTTCTCAAAGTGTGGTGAAATTTCTAAGCTTCTAGGGATAGAGGTAAGCTGAAAAATAGTGACCTGGAACATTTTTACACATGAAGAAAGAGGCACAATGTTAAAAGGCAGTTTGGATTTTAGAAGCAACATATACCATAATTAGATGTACTACTTCAAAATATTTACTTGATATTTTGCATAAAGCCAAGAGTTCTGAATGAAGTTCAGAGCAAGAAAGGCCTCTACAGGCTCCAGGGAAAGTTGCTTTGCTGCTTGGGCCTAACAACACGTAAGTCCAATGAACTTTAAGTTGTTTGTGGCAAAGAAAGTTCCTGTAGGAACCCTAAATAGGAGAATTATAGCAAAAACATAGACAGTGGAAGTTAAGGCCAAAGTTCTCCTGCTAACAATTGTTTTCTTTTTGAAAAGCAATTCCTGATTCCTGATTTGCCACTGGGTCCTGGTTTAAAACTCAAACTATAGTTCACCCAGTGACAATACCACCTAAGTGGGCCTTCTGGGAAACTGAGGCAGCATGAAAATCCCTGTCCTTCAAACTCCAATTCTTGCAAGTCAGAAAGATTTCAGACATGTCGCTCAGAGTGACAGGGATAGGAAAGAGGAAAGGGGACACTCTCAAGAGAGAGAGAGTAGGACCGTTCAGAAAAGAGAGGGACTGCTTGCCTCTCCTGCACTCCAGTTTTTATTGGAGGTCACAGAGAAGTGTCCAGAGAATCCCACCCAAATCCACCTCTTGACTTTCGACTGACAGCAGGATGACATCAGATTTTGAAGTCGCCACTGCGATAACTCTACATCACTTTGGCCCACACTGATTGGTTCTGATTGGATTCCTAATCATAAATTCTTACAGATTTTATGATTAGAAGCAATTATCCTTATCTCCCTGAGTTCTGGGATCTGATCTGTGAAAAGGGCCACAAAAATCTCCACTTTCAGGGTAAATTGTGTTCTTCTTATCAACATGATTTTGGACTTGCATGTCTCCTGCAGATAACAGGTAGTTTGCCAAGACATGTAACATATTCTGGCCACTTCAGTGAGGCAGAGCTGCAGGTGAATTGCTTGTTGAAAAAGAAAGAATGTGGGGAGTCAGCACAGTGGGCCCATTTTATAGAATAATCCCCTTAATCTTGATCTGTCTGCCCCTACAACAAGGAGATCAGAATGCAAACACTGTCCCTGGAGCTGATAATAAATAGCTCCCCCTTTTCTTGGCCAGACTGTAGACTGCTTAGGTTCTCAGAGCTGAAGCCAAACTAAGCAGAAGAGAGGGGAAGCCACTAAGGGGGAAGGAGGGAGGGCAGGATCCTGTTTTGCCAGAAAGAGGGGAGTAAAGGAGAATCCCCGGAACGGGACATAGAGGGGAATTTTGGACAGAGAAAGTGAAAGCTCTGGGCCATAAATAAGAAGCAGCCACAACCTCGCACAGGCTCTCACACACACACACTTCTAGATCCCCTCACACCCCAAGGACGCCTGTGCACTGCCACCACTCTCCTGCAAGCCTACCGGAGCCTCAGCTTCACAGACGCATACACACACCCAGAGACTCACTCAGACTTCCACAGTCGCTGCTGCCTCAGTTCACTCTCCATGGCACCCCGTGTGGCCCCACTACTGGCTCTCAGTCTACTAGTTCTCTGGAACTCCCCAGGTAAGGCTGAGGGGATGACTAGGGTGGTGGTGGCAGTGAGTTGGGGGTCAAAATCTGGGTCTCAAATTGCTTGTTGATGGTCATGAGGGATACTCCAAATTCAGGGGAATTCTTGGGTCTGCATGTTTCAATGAACCTAGGGGTTCCCTGTGCCCTGTGTGTATGCCTGTGAGGGTGGGCACCTCCGTACCCTTAAATTCCAACATGGATCAGCTTTTGGCATATTCTAGGGCCTATGGCTTCCTTCCTTTGCAGTGTCTATTTCTGTGCCTCTGTTTCCCAGGTAGAAAAAAGGAACATATATATTTATTAAAGGTAGGGAGAAATGGAGACACTCAGGCAAGGCTGACAGTCAAAATATTCAGTAATACATTCTCTTTTTCTCCTCCTCCTCCTTCTCCTCTTCCTCCTCCTTCTTCTTTCCTATTTTTTTTTTTTTTTTGCTTTTGTTTTGTTTTGTTCTGAGACAGGATCTCACTATGTTGCACAGGCTAGCCTAAAAATGTGGGACAATAGGTCTGTGTCAACATAGCTTAACTATTTACCAATTCATAAGCCTTAACACCAGCTTCTCTGCCCCAGTACTGTGACTAGCATTAACGGTTTTTTTTTTCCAGAAACACAGACAAGGGTTTACTTAGGAAAATAGAGACATGTTCAAGGGAGAGTATGGGCCATCTCCAGTCAAAGAGACAGCTAGCATTAATTTTTTATTTGTGGAACATGGAGAAGTTGAGAAGACCTGAGAGAAAGAGAGATTATGGTGATCAGAGTAGCAGGAAGGCATCTGTAGGGCTCAGGGTAGTGGTTCTTTACCAAACAGTTCAGAAGTATTACAATAGAGTTTGCAACCATATTGGTGCACACTGGCTGAATGTCAGCACACAGCTGACCTTAATCCCACTTCAGACTGTGGCCTCCCTTCCTCACCATCCCTATGTCCTGACACCTTCTTTCCCTATCCCAGCCCCAGCTCTGGGTGGTGCCAATGATGCAGAAGACTGCTGCCTGTCTGTGACCCAGCGCCCCATCCCTAGGAACATCGTGAAAGCCTTTCGCTACCTCCTCCTCAMGGATGGCTGCAGGGTGCCTGCTGTTGTGTAAGTTGCTGGGAAGGTGTCTAGTCCTATACTCCCATTGGCTTCTAGTGATACCCCTACCTTTTTATCCCTCTTTTTCTGATCAAGCTTAACTCCTTCAAGGTAGCCCTTGAAAGTTTCCCAGACATGGTCCCCAGCCTCTGCCCCTCACACTACAGCCTTCCAGGAATCTGGGTTCCAGGGATCCCCCCTTTCTCTCTGACCTCTGACTCCAGGTTCACCACACTGAGAGGCCACGAGCTCTGTGCTCCCCCAGACCAGCCCTGGGTAGACCGTATCATCCGCAGATTGAATAAGTCCTCTGCCAAGGCAAGTCTGTCCTCCCAGCCCTACCTCCAACCTCCAAAACCCTGTTCAAGATTCTGTCCATCCCATGACTCTGCCTATCCTTCCTCCCACAGAGCAAGCGCCACAGCAATTAGACCATAACAGTACCAGAGGGAGCCCTGTGTCTGACTGAAGGGATGGGACTCTCCCTGGCCTGGGGAACCAAAGACCAGAAGGGAMGACCAGGCTTCCAGCTGCTCTGCACCCCACCTCTCCCAACCAAGGCAGGGCCTTCAGTGTCTTTGTGTGAGTGTGTGAGTGAAAGGGTGAATGTAGCAAGATCACAGCCTCTTCATGCCCAGACTGCAATGCTTTCAATAAAGCCACTTAGCACCCATTGATCTGTTTGTTTGCTTTCTGTTTGCTCTTCATCTAAAAGGACAGGAATAAGAAAGGAAGAGATGGAATGTCAGGATCTATTTTCTACCTTAAGTTCTGAGCAATCTCTTCATAAACCTTTACCTAACACCCTGATGATCTCAGGATCAGCCCCCACAATTAGGGCCCCATCTCATGTCTCCTGTCTATCACACTCATGTTTAGCCACTCTCAACTTGTGCCAGTCCCTGGACAAGCCAAGTGTCTTGGGCCTGCCCATGTTTTCTCTCCAAGGTAGGTGTCCAAGCCTCCAGGTGTCTCAGGGATCAGGTTATCAGTGAAGGAAAGGAGTAGGGCAGAGGGCTTAGCTCTAATGCCTGAGGAAGTGTCTGTCTGCCCATACCATTCCCTCTTGCACATTCTTCTCTCTCCTCTGTCCTCCAGCTTCCCATCTGGATCCATATGTTTCTTTCTCCAAGAAGCCTTTCCTGTCCCCAAGCAGGGTTTTATAACTTCACTCCCTCACAACCTCTCTCCCATAGCATTCATCACACTGACCAATATTTGCTATATTTGTCCATCTTCCTGGGCAAGGATCAAGTCTAGTTTGGTTTCCAAAGTGCCACCTGGCACAAGGTAGTTACTCAATAAATATTTGTTTAGAGAATAATAAATACATGATGAAAGACTCAGAAGCTGTGTGTGAAGGCTCCATCTGTACATACAGAATCTGACCTCTAGACCAGCCCTCCTCTCTAACTCAGTCAGTCTAAGCAAGTTCCTGTCCATTCTGAGCAATCCAGGGGGCCATACCCCTCAGGGGCACTGACAAACAGACCTGGGAGCCATAGGTCAGAGATGGGAGAAAAACCCTCATGATAAAAGAAGGAGCAGCCAAAGAAGCTCAGGATAACCAGCAGGCAGCTCCACCCTTACCCTGCAGTGCACATGGGTTCTAGGGTTCAGAGGCAACACTGAGACCAGGGGAGTCTCAGGGAAAGAGTCTCAGGTCTGAAGAACGAAAGCCCTGAGGATCTTAGAGCACCCCATAGGGATGTCTGTGAGGAGTAAACTCCCTGTGCTTCCCTAGTCCCTCAGAGAAGCTTGTTGATTTCCAGAGTATAGCCTTTAAAGGCCTGTAACAGTCAAGAAGGACAAGTCTTCCTGGCATGGGTGATGCACTATAATCCCAGTGACTCAGGAGGCCGAGGCAGGCAAACCGCAAGTTCAAAGCCAGCCTCAGCAAAAGTGAGGTGCTAAGCAATTCATCGAGATCTTGTCTCTACATAAAATACAAAATAGGGCTGGGGATGTGGCTCAGTGGTGGAGTTCAATCCCCAGACCAAAAAAAAAAAAAAAGAATGACAAGTCGGTATGCTAGGTTCCAATGGCAGTTAGGAGGCCAAATTGAATACTCTTACCTGGAAAGACAAGTCATCATTATACAAGATTCAACTCAGCCAGAAACAAAGCCAGGTCTAGGCAGGCTTTGGAAGGAGAACAAAGGGATTGTGCCAGCCCCTATTCACTGGGATGAAAGTATGACAGCATCTTCATCTTCTCTGCTCCCATGGCAGGTGTTAAAAACTTCAGGTACCGAAATCTCAGAGTCACAAGGGGTGGGAAGGATGGGAATAGCTTTCAAAAATAGTTGTTATGACTGGAAAGTTTGGCTCTGATGCTGAGGAAAAATTATTCATCCATTCATGCATCCATGCATCCAGCTGTCTCTTCGTCCATTAGATCTCCATCTACACACCTACCCAACTATCCTCTTCCATCAAGCCAGCCAGCCATGGAGCACCCTGCATCCCACAGGCAGAGAACAAACACATATATAAAGGGGGCACATTGCCTCAAATCCTTCTCAGGTACCACTGAAACAAAGAGGAAGTCAGCCTACCTCAAAAGCAGACACAGACCCTCCTTCTGGATCCTCACATGAATACAGAGAGGGAAGATAAGGTAGGAGTTCTGAGGAAGTTGCTACCAGTACCGAGTCCCTGGACACTACCTCCATGGCACTGCTACTAGGAGGTTCAATGTCTAGGCCCATGTCTCATATCTCTGCCCCTGTCACTATGTGACACTAGGCAAGTTTCTTCAACCCTCCATGGGCTTCAGTTCTCCCATCTGTCAGATGACAAAGAGGGGGTTGATTTTTCTTTTCTTTTTTTTTTTTTTTCCAGTACTGGGAATTGAACTGAGTTATATTCTACTATTTTACCACTGAGTTATATTCTACCCTTTTTTAGTTTATTTTGAGACAGGGTCTCACTAAGTTGCTGAGGGTCTCACTAAGTTGCCCAGGCTGACCTCAAACTTGTAAACCTCCTATCTTGGGCTCCCAAGTCACTAGGATTACAGGCATGTACCACCATGGCCAGGAAGGAGCTTGATTTTTGAAAGTTGTTCCAAACAAACACTTGTCTCCTGAATCTTTGGATCTCATACTAAGCCCCGAGCATTTACATAGTCTCCCACAAAGTCAGGCATATCCAGAAACTTCCCCACTTCTTGGGTTACCAGGGGCCACCTTCTGGGAACAAAAGGGAAGCTGAGTGTGCTACTCAGGTTTTCATTGCTGTGAACAAAATACCTGACAAGAACAACTTAGAGGAGCAAAAGTTTATTTTGGGCTCATGGTTTCAGAGATCTCAGTCCTTTGCTCTGGGCCTAAGATGAGGCAGAACATCGGGGCAGAAGGATGTGATGGAGTAAAGCTGTTGGGAAACAGAGAGAGCAACGGAGGACTCAGGGACTAGATATAGTCCAAGGGCACACCCCCAGTGACCTGCTTACTCCAATCATGCCCCACTTACCTACAGTTACTACCTAGTGGTCCATTCAAATTATTATTTCATCAAATGGATTAATTCTCTGATGATATTACAGACTCCATGACCTAATCATTGCCTAAAAGTCTCCTCTGGACTTGCTATGTTAAGGATCATGCTTTCAAAACATGAGCTTTTCAGAGAACATTAAAGGTCCAAACCATAACCCTGAGGCTCAGGAATAGAGAAAATAATCTAAAGCCAGTGAAATGCCTTAAATTGAACAGTCTCTGCTTGATCCTGGAACCTTTGTTTTTTTTGGCTTTTTGTTTTTTTTTTTTTAAGAGAGAGTGAGAGAGGAGAGAGAGAGAGAGAGAGAGAGAGAGAGAGAGAGAGAGAGAGAGAATTTTTAATATTTATTTTTTAGTTCTCGGCGGACACAACATCTTTGTTGGTATGTGGTGCCAGGCGAGCACGCTATCGCTTGAGCCACATCCCCAGCCCAATCCTGGAACCTTTGAAAATAAGGAATTTGGAGGAAATCTGGGAGGGTGGGCACCTCACAATGAGCAGGCACATAACTCTCCCCACCCCTTCTCCAATCATTACAGTCCATCCTAGCCTTCTCCCCGGCTCTATTTCCTACCTTCCAAACATACCAACCCCTCTTGGGTCTTATCTACTTTTCTCCCTATCAGGTGCCTAAATCCAGCAATCTTGACCCATCCTCCTTAAACACTCTCAGGACTGTGATGCCATCTAATCATCATCTGCTTCCTGTTTCACTACCATTTACTGATAGAAGTTATATCTTCATTATCACAAGTTTTACATGCTTACCTCTGACAGTGATTAGGATGCTAGCTCTCTGGCAGGCAATGTGGACTCCTAGCTCTCCAAGCAGAATTTAGAGGCCTTGTTGCCTGCCTCTAAATAGATCCCTTCCACTCTAGGGCACATGGCACTCACTATAGTTCAAGGCCTGTAGCTGAATGATATCTCCTACCCCAAAGGCCTGTGGTCCCTGCAGCTAATATCTCCCTAAGAGTACCTGACATCCCTACTTGGGGAACTTCCTTTTGGACAAAAACCCTCTGTCCTAAATGTTGAGATAGCTACCAGAGAAGAGATTGAATCTTGTTCATCTTCAGTGCTAATATTACTCTGTACAGTGGTTGTCACAAAATAAGCCCCAATACACATTTGATTAGTAAGAAAAAGAATTGAACATGGCCCCTTCCTGCTATGCCCACACAGGCCTGGAGCACATCCAGTTCTCAAGACTCTTGGGGCTGTCTGTTGCATGGCTGAGTATTTGGTCAGAGCCAACTCCATACGGTTTTGATCATGTTTTTGATCATCTCATGTTCAACTTCTCGGCAAGCTCCCACCCTGCGTTACCCGCTTCTTTTAGCCTCCGGGAAATTCAGGAACAGCCAGAAAATCTTGGAAATAACAGTCTCAGAAAGGACCAGATATTTAAAGTGGGGAGTTTCCTCCAAGAGCCCCTCCAAAGGAATAAGCAGGCATCTCTCTGGTCAGAGAACTTCCTAGATGGCCCCTGAGACTTTGTCCACATGGAAGGACATATCTCTGTAGTACTAGCCAATTCAATAGCACTTCCTAAGTTCTGGGCACTGCTGTAAGTACTACTGCCATTCTTATGTTGCAGATGAGAAAATGGAAATGGGCTAGGAAAATGTCAGAACTGGGGTTCTTTCAGAATACTATTACTACTCAGGCCACCCCTCTGGGCTGACCCATCTCCTAAATAAAAATGGAGACAGTACAGCACAGCCAGGTCTGAAAAAGACCCTTGGGGAAAAGAGAAAACCACTACTTTGGGTTAACTATGTGCCAGTCTCTGAGCTGAGCTCTTCATTTGCATTGTATCATTTCATTCTCAAATGACCTTATGAGTTGGAGACCATTAGTATCATTTTATGTACAAAGAAATTAAAGCAGAGAGGTAGAATAAGCTCCAGATTCACACAACTAATAAGTGGCAAAGCTGGAGTTACAGCCTAAGCCTACCTGACTAGTAGTACCTAAAGTGAGAACTGGGGGGATGGAGTGTCTAGCTGTTTTGCTAGGAAAACTTGGCTTGCTAGAAAGGGCTGGAGAAATTAAAAAAAAAAAAAAAAACAAGAGGGGGAAGCTGGTAGCCCCAAATGGGACTACAGCACTTGAACTGAGACACAGAGATGTCTCCTGGAGGGCATCCAGCCTTCTGGCCCTCTCCAGTAGAAGGCAAATGAACTTCTTCAGAGCCTCAAAGAGGAAGTCTGGGGGTTGGCGTTGTAGCTCAGCAGTAGAGCGCTTGCCTAGCATGTGCGAGGCCCTGGGTTTGATCCTCAGCACCACATAAAAATAGATAGATAAAATAAAGATATCGTATCCATTTACAACTAAGAAATAAATATTTAAAATAAAAATATTTAGATGAGGGGCTGGGGATGTAGCTCAGTGGTAGAGTGTGTACTTAGTTTGCACCAAAGAAGCACTAAATAAATAAATAAATAATATTTAGATGGCAGGCCTCCATTTGTACTGTTGCTCCAAGCTCCACAAATGTTAGGTGGTAAGCCTGGCAGATGACCTCTGGAATCACAGCTGTAACTGCCCTTGTAAAATGGACATCATTTCTGCCATTATTCTACTACCACCAAAATGGGTCCTCTGACATCCCAGCCCCTTTACATCACTGCTAGCTTCTGATTCACAGCTTTTGAAAGGAACTTATGATTAGCAAAGCCTAGGTCATGTGTCTGAGTCCTAGCTGCAAAGAGGGCTAGGGAGACTAGTATGTGACCTTTGGGGATTCTATGATGCAAACAAGCTCAAACAGTAATCAGGACTAATATAACAGGAAATTTCTCAAACATAGAAAGGGGTTAAGTTAGAGGGAAGTGAAGGAAAAAAAGAAAGATAAATATTTCTATAGTTTACCCTATAACTGTCCAACATCAATATACACCCTTCTTCTCAAACCCTAGACTTAAAAAAATTAAGAGTATCACCTAACATACTCATCTTTGCTTATAAAACCAAAAAAACTCACCTCTCCCCAAAGAGAAACTCAGAGCCTTAGTAATTACCACCCACATCTCTTAATCAGCTCAGGCCACCATAACAAAATACTGGGTGGAAAGACTGGGTGGATCAAACAATAGAAATTTATTTTATCATAGTTCTAGAGACAGGAAGTCCAAGATCAAGGTGCCAGCATGGTCAGTTTCTGGTCAGAGTTCTCTTCCTGGCTTGCAGCCAGCCAGCCACCTTCTCACTATGCAACTGAAAGAGATCTTCCTTTTCTTATAGGATCACACTCCTATTGAATAACAGCCCCAGCCCTATGACCTCCTTTAATCACAGTTACCTCTATCTCTAGATGTAGTCACATTGAGGCTTTAATGTATAAATTTGGGGTAGACACAATTTAGTCCAACTCTAATTCCAARATCACAGAGTGACATTCACACCTCTTTTAGTTTTGTTGTAATTTTCTATCTCTATTCTGCAACACATGATGACCACCAACCACATACCTGATTGGTCAAGATAGGCTAGATTATGCTGTGATAACAAGTGACACCCAAATGTGAGTAGCTTAACACAACAAAATTATATTTCCTAAGCCTGCTGTAGATCCAGGCAGTCTCTAACACAGCTGTATTCCATGTGGTGGCTCATCATTCCAAGCTGCTTTGATCTTTCGGCATGTTCCTTTTCTTCAACACATGCTTCCATGATTATCCCAGTCAGGGAGGATAGCAAGGGGAACACTTGCTTAAATGTTTTTGTCCGTAAGTGACAAATGCCATTTCTGCTCACATTTCTTTTTTTTTTTTTTTTTT